TGATGCTGAGCACACTCCCAGGGGGTCTGACCCCTCCACGGGGCTCCACAGCTCTGGCCTCACTTGTGGTGCCTGTTTCTGGGACCACTACAGCTGTCCACACTGGTCACTGGAGAAGGAGCTGCCAACAGATTGTCACTGTGTGCACACTGGGTACTGTGCTGTCTATGCTGACCTGACTGCTCAATGTACTTCTGTGCAAATGTTTATTTAGCATCTAGTGAATGCCAGGCACAGGGGACAGACTAAGACCAAAAGACAGTGTGGTAGGAAATAGGTTTTTTTTTTGTTTGTTTTTTTTTAAAGGTAGACAAATCTGGGTTCAAATCCTGGCTCTGCCTCTTATTAGATAAATCACCGTGAGCAAATGACAATAGCTTGAACCTCAGTTTCCTCATCTGTTAAATGGGAAGAACTATCTTGCTTACAATCTGTTCAAAAGAGACAGCCCATGCACGCATGTTCCCTCTCTAGCACCGATTTGCTCAACTTTTCTGGAACCCCTTCATCTCCCATTCAAAGCAACCACAGACGTCTCTCCAAGGCTCATCTGGGACACACAGCTAAACCCACAGCCCTCATTTCCCGTTTGCTCAGAAGCTGCGCATCATTAACTTAGACCTGTCTCCCTCACTGCGTCCCTGCCCCTCCTGTTACAGTTACTTACGTTGGAAACCTGCCCCAGCTTTAATGCACCTCGGATGAGTTATGTGACCGGCCGTTAGGATGATGACAGAAGCATGAATTTCCTCATTAAAGCCCAAGAGCACAAGGCAATCCAAACAAGGCCCGTGGCCCGGGCCTGGTGTGCTGAGGACAGCCACTCATCAGGCCTGTTTGGCTTGGCAGGAGGCGCTGCTTATGGCAAGCCGGAACCAGACCCGGGCCATGGGCTGACAGCTCTGATTTAAACTATTAGGAAGGCTGAGGATTAAATATTTGTCTAGGTCACTGTAAACCGGGTGGAATTATAAACAGTTCAGAGCGGTAAGTGATGCAGGAAACAGTCTCCGGATACAAATTTAGGATTTTCCACCATTGCCCAGGTGGCAGGGTGTGGGGGAGGCCGGCTATGGTAGAGCTGGCTGCGGGGGGGTAGAGCTGGCTGTGGGGGTGTTCAGCTGCCCTCTCCCTGGTCAACGGTTCCTGGAAGACAAGGGCCCATTTCCATGCAAAAGGATGGGCCCTGCCCCAGGGGAGCCTGAGCCTTGGTTCTGGGAGGGATGGAGACAGCCCTGCCCAGAGGCCAGAGCAGGGGGCCCCCAAGATCCCTGTGGCTGCAGGCCCGTGACACAGCAGAGGCGATGGAGGTTTTGCAAGAAGGCTCAGATACACATCCGAGGCGTGCTGGCCGGCAACACATTGGCCCCGCACTACAATTTTTCAAATGCATGAAGATGCTATTGTGACTAGAATACAAATTCACTTAAGTGTTACTAAATTTATCCTTCCTGGCATATACTTCTTCTATCAATGGCTAGTAAAAATATAATCTTATTGAAATCAATTTTTGATGTTAAAAGGAATCCTTCACAAAGACGGAAGGTGGCTCCCTCCGAGGAGGTTCTCCAGGGTGCTGTGTTTCTGCCAACATCGACTTCTCTGGGGCCAAGTGCCACTGAGTCTGCACTCTCTTCCCTTTACGCAAAGCACCCTGCTGCCCTGCACTGGCACAAGGCCTGCCCCTGGGAGGGGGCTGGCAAGGTCCTTAAACAAGAGCCCTAAACCTGCTTAGATGCCTAAAGCAGCATCTGAAGTAGAAGATATGACAAGTTTGCTCTGGGGGAGGCAGCACCTTCCAGTCCAAGCTCCCAGTTTGACTAGACACACCTCCACCTGGAAGGGACATCTTGGAGATGGGTTGCTAATGACACCTAAGCAAAAGACAGGCAAGAGGAAGGTACAGAGTAGCTGTGATATTGTGATTTACAAGAAATATATATTTGGTCATTCAGAGGACCAAAATATATTTCTTACACATTTGGTTTTCATCCACAGTCCTGGCTCACAGGCCCCTAAAACCACTGAAATTTCCTGAGCAGTAAGAGCAATGGGAGCATCTTTTGTTATAATATTTGATCTCTTGTCCCCAGTTCCTGAAAAAAACAAACAAACAAACAAACAAACAAACAAACAAAAAAACCAAAAGCTTTGGAGCCATAAAGGTGAAACGGATGTCTTGTTATTCATCACAAGCCCCTCTCCACCAACTGGGTTTATGTCAATGAGGTGACTTTTGGAAAACACCTAAGAATGGGGGCTGGTTGTCAGGGGAACCAACAATGAATAGAGTTCTAGGGAGTAGAGAAGAGCTAGAGGTTAAATCAATCACCAGTGGCCAATGAGTTAATCAACCGCGGCTATGTAATGAAGCCTGCATAAAAACCCGCAGAGGCTGGGGTTCAGAGAGCTTCCAGGATGGAAACAAGAATGCTTCCAAGTGCCACCATGCCAGCCCCAAACTCCACGAGGACAGACACTCCTTTGTTTGGGACCACACCCTATACCTCTGATTGTCGATTTGTATCGTTTAATATCCTTTGTCATAAAGCATTAATCCAGTGAGTAAATGAGTTTTCTGAACTCTGCAAGCCGCTCTAGTAAATTAACTGAACCTAAGGAAGGATATGTGGGAACCTCTGATTTATAGCTGGTCGATCAGAAGCACACGTGACAATCTACATTTGCAACTAGCGTCTGAGATGGGGGGTGGGGGGAGATGGAGGTGAGTGGGGTGGGGGACCCCGCTGCGGAGCAGTCTTGTCAAATCGCGCCCTTAACCTGTGGGATCTGACGCTGTCCTCATGTAGTGTCAGAATTAAGTTGAATTGTAGGACACTCTGCTGGTGTCTGAAGAATTGTTGGTGTTATGGGGACCACCACCCTCCCCATGATGAAATTGGGTACAGAACCCAAAAGAGTGACATTTGTCAAATTCTAATGTGCACATAAATTAGCCTGAGAACTTTGTTAAATTTAGATTCCCATTTGGTAGGTGTGGATAGGGCCCAAGATCTCTGTATTTCTGAGAAGCAATCTGGTGATGCTGAAGCTGATGCTGGTCCTGGACTACTAGGCTGTGAGTGGCAAGACACAGATGCCCTGGAGTTGCAGACAAAGGCTCCTGGAGAGGCGACCTGCCTGATGGGGCTGCTCATGACCACAGAGATGGAAAATGAGCAAAGCATCGCTTCTCACAGCACAAAAGAATCTGAGGTATGGACATGGGGAGAGCCCTGATGAGGGTGAAGAAAAAGAAACCACAGCTAAGCCTGAAGGCACCTGGTCCTACTAAAGCAGGAAGCCAACTGGGAGATGGAAGGCGGCATTCAACCACAGAGAGCTCAAAGGGCATTTGTTTGAAAATATGAAGCCCTACTTAGACAGTGGATTTATAGCTGGCTAAACAAGTTCACCGTAAAGAAAAGTACTCTCAGAAAGATGATTGATTATTGGACTGACGCCTCCGTCTAAGACAGTCTCTGGTAGCCATGCTAGAGGGCTCTGAACTTGGCTTTGAGCTAATTAATACGAGACACAGTGTCATCTTAATGTATAAGTAACAAAGCCAGAAGGAACAGTTAACACCTGGATGACTGAACCCAAGATTCAATATAACTGTCACGGCAGAGTGGATAAAAACAAAACGGAAGGATAAATGTAAAATCTCATTAAGAAAAAAAGATTTACTGCACAAGAACAGAATGAGAAATCCCTAGACCTTCAGTGGTTCATGAGAAAAGAGATGAGGGCGGGGGTGCCAGGGGGTGGCCACTTATCAACTGCACGCTCGTCAGGTGCCAGCCAAGGCAATCCTGGCCCCATTCTGGAGAACAGGTTCTGTTCCGGTTGCCATTTCTTATGGAGGCTGACCTAAATGGAATGGGCTGTCTCTTAGGTGGCAGGAGGTGTCTCGTCAGGTTGGGAGTGACTTCTAAACTTTTCCAATGTCAAGATCCTGCGACTCAAGCAACCTGCTTGGGCCTACACTGGAGGATTCTGGTGACTGTCGTTCAGCTCTGTTTTTTGGAGCGCTGCTGTGCGGGGACCTGAGCTGAGCAGAGAGCGGGTCTTGCCACAGCGTCGGTTAGTTTCCGGCCACTTCCAGGCACCTGCGTGGGGGGCTGGCAGATCCACGCAGATGCTTAAAGCAGGCGCTCCCGCTTCTGTATCCTTTCGGCTGTCAGCACAGCCTTTTTTCTCCTTTTCGCGGACCCTGGCTACTGTCCCCCAGCAGCCTGTCGCCAACCATCTGGGCTGACCCTCTGGCTCAGCCATCACTCCTCAGACTGCCCAGCCCACCTGCAGGTTAATGTCCATCAGCTATCCCTGCAGAAAGCACCTTCTCAGCGTCCGGGGGGCTGCTGCTTGCTCACACCCACCCCTCCCTCTATTGTGAAAGGCAGCCAGATTTTACTGTAGGACGGCAACACGCCTTTTCCATCGACGGTACCATGGGTAGTCACATGAGCCAAGTCTGGCCAAACTATTTCCTCCCCTCTACCCTCAGGAGATGATCCTGTGATGGACCAGCAACCCAAACTGGGCCAGCGAGACATTTCTGGGGCATGGTAAACCTATTCTGAAAGAAGAGCTCTGTCCTCCGGACTACCAGGGCCCAGCCACGCTGAAAGACGCCTGAACTTCTCAGTAATGTGAACTGACTCGTTTCCATTTCTGCTAAGTCAGAGTTTTACTTCTGTCACTTGCAACCAAGAGTCCTAATCCCAACACTTGGTCTAAAAGTCACAACTGAGAAATTCATTCATTCTAAGATGTTATCAGTGTTATGTCCTAAACATCACAGGAACCTTATAATATAAACACCCAGACCCAAATAAGAAACCTCCCATGATGGAACCTCAGGAATCACCCGCAGGCCTGTGGGGAGACTGCGTCAGGCACGGGGCTGCCCTAGGACACCCATGCGGGGACAACTGCTCGCTCATCTCCACATTGTCACTTCTGGGGCTGGCACCTGTGGGCCCCGGCAATTCTACCTGTCTCGTGAGGCTGCCTCCGAGGTTCATGGTGCCAGAGCCGGATTTGTTGGTCTGCAGCCAGAGCATCACTGTGGAGGTCAGCTTGTAATGGGCGGTGCGACCGCTGGATTTCTCCTGGGGGATGAGACAGAGATGAGAGCCTTGCGTGCAACCCCGAGCTGAGGAGAAGCTGAGGTGGCCCCCAAGTTCAGGATCATTCTAACATGCCCCTTCCTTAGCCATCACCATGACATCACCTTTCTTATAAAATCCCAACTGGTTTTCAAAGGGACTGAATCTGCAATCGTGTATCACTGGTTCTTTGGGGATGTTTATCATGAATGACTACTGCAGTCTTGACTCATCGTTAGCCAAATGGCTTCGGGCATTTTTAGGAATTAACAGGGGTGGGTTTATGTATGTATCACAGTACTCTCCCCTTCAACTTCAAGAAGCATCTACTAGAGGATGGGCAGGGGCAGGGGCAGGGGGGCTACACTGTTTGGTGTGGCACCTGCTCTCGGAGGCCCTGGGCTGCCAGTTGCTGGGGAGCTGTACCTGCACTTCCACCACGTGGATAGAATCCCAGCAGCCTTTGATTTTCTTTGATCCATCTCCAGCCTTCTTTATGAGAATCACTCCAGCAAAGCCATGATCCAGATCCCAGAGGTAGACAGATGAGACGCCGCCTTCAAAATACCTGCAGGAAACAGGCCCGCGTGCTCATTAGACATTAAACCTGTCAAAGCACAGACTATGAGCCAAGGTCACAGGGGCTATCACTGGGCAAAGATTGCCTAAGTGTCCATGTGGCATTAAGGACCTTCCCTGCAATGATCCCAGGGTTGATTCTGGCATGTGTCCTGAATCTCCACTGGTCAGGAGTGGGGGTACAGCATCCTTTGGGGGGGGGTCACAGAAAGAACATGACTTAGGAGTCCTCATGATGAAATCCGAGCTGAGCTCTGCCACACACTCTAGCTTTGTGGTCTTTGGCAAATTTATCGAACCTCTCCAAGCTCCAGGTTCCTCCCAGATGAAGGATCCAGCAAAGTGTCTGATGTATAACACTCAGTGGGGGTCATTACCACTGAGTCATCGTGACTGTCCGATATCTCTATCTTTTGCAATAGCTATTCTGTACAGGAGCTAAGAACTCTCCAGAGCCCGGGCACACCAGGGCTTCTGTGGTCTTCCAGAGCAGCTTGCTGCAACCCAATCTCCAAGAATGAAGGGCTAAGCTTGGGATGGAGCTTCCTCCTCAGGCCTGGGCCAAAATGAGAAAATTCCTAATTAAGATCAAATGCAAGAGGAAAAGGAAATCAGGCTAGGCTCCCAAATCCAAGAGACCCAAGCCAACAGCGGTGATGGAGTCAGGACGCCGTGAGCACAGGTCCGAGGAGCTCAGAAGGCAAAGGCGGATCAGCAGCTAATGTGCACACAGTGCTTCCGAGTCGGCTGATCATCAACGGAAACTGGAAAAATCTTGCCTGGTGGCAGCGAGCACATTCTTTACCAGAAAGCCTGTGGCCTCTCTGACCCCAATTAACCTCTGCTCAACGGTGCGGCAGACACACTCTGGGACCTGCTAGGAGTGTGACCTCAGATGAGCACAGCAGGCAGGCAGCACGCTGTGGTGATCGTGGGCATGGGTCCCAGCCCTGCCCCTCCGTTCCTGTGTTTATCCACCCAAAAACTATTGAGGAAGGACCACCAGATACCAAATGTGTGAACTGTCCTTAGCACTGTAGAGACAAAAACAATATAGGAAAGTAGATATCTGATTAAAGATTATTATTAATTTTAAGACTAAAGATTATTAATTTTAAGAACAAAAACAAGTACTAAAAGTAAACATGTCTGAATTATAGCTCAATAAAACTAGTATATAATAAGATTATACATGGGAAATGTTAATATTTAGAGAATGTGGGTGAAGAAATATGAGAATTACTTGTACTTTTTTTTTTGCTAATTTTACTGTAAATCTGAAACTACTTCAAACTAAAAAGTATTTTTTCTTAAACTAAAAAGTTTTTGTGTAAAGGTCAGTATACACCAGAGTGTGACTGAGGGACAATCAAACCAAGGAAGCGGCCCCTCCTCACGAATGAACGACAGCCTTCCGCCTGTGAGCTGTCGGGCAGGCGGCTCTATTATCCTCCTGCTCTAATTCCCGACCCTCACCCCATCCAGCTAGGGTTCCTCCAGCAGACTGGGGCCCGCTGCTGTCACCACTACATCCTGTCCCCGCGGCTCCATCCCTGCACCTTCCACTACGATTAAGCTGTCAAATGAAATTCACAACTATGCCCCGCTGGTAAGAAGCCTGGGAGGTGGGTGAGGGCAGGCCCACAGGGCTACGATGCCGGCCCCAGGGCTAAATGTCAGTCACATGGAGAATGCGGAGGGGTCTGGCGCCAGACAAGTGCAACGCGGAGTGGCACTGTGATGGGGAAAGCACGAGCGAACGCGCGCGCGTGCACACACACATGCGCGCGCGCACGCACACACACACACACACGCACGCGCGCGTGCGCACAGACACACAAACCTGTGGGGGCCCAGAGCTCAGTGCTGTCACAGCTGACCTCCAGGAAATCGGCTGACAGTGGGCACGCAGGAAGCTCCTTTCTCTTGTTCCAAATCTCTTTTCAAACCCCCTCCCCACCCCCTTCCACACACACAAAAACATCCTCCCTGGAACAGGGGAGGGGAACAGATAAGCATTTTGGTCTAGGACCTAAGGCCCCATCTTGCTCTGGACAAGCTCCACAGGGAGCTGGGCACACGGGCCATGCTGGAATGCTCCTGGGACATGTGGAGATGCATCGGTCACGTCTAGACTGGAACCCTTGCAGGGCTCAGGTGAGTTCACAGCAGGGGTCCAGGTGCCTTTCCAGCCTTGTTATCCTGGATTCTGGTGGCTTGCAAGTTCACTAGGAGGCACCCCAACACCACTGAGGGAGCAGAAGCCCACAGCAGACCTGTGAACACCCGTCCTGCTGGGGACAGATGGCTGGGTTCTCCCACTCGGTTTTCCCTTTCAGTCTGTAGAGAGAGCAGCCTCACATCAAAGGGGGAAAAAACAACTTTAAAAACCTGGCTTTCCTGTGCTGGCATAAAGGATGGCCCAGTAATTCCTTCCTTCCGTTGGCCATCCTGAAATGAAGGCTTGAAGCCCAGCGGGCATTTTCATGCTTCCGCCCCTCACAGCTTGCGGCCCCAATCCTCTGCGCCATCCCAAATCAGGGCAGCAGTGTCCCTGTAGAAGGCTCACTGCTCAGTGCGCTGCAGGAACGCGCGGATCAGGCCGCCCTGGAAGGGAACCAGGCGAGATCCTGGTGGCCTGACAGCCCCTGTCGACACCACCCAGCGACCAGTTCAAAAGAGCCAGGTGGCCTACAGTTGATCCCCCTCAGTCCTATCCATGAGATTTGTTTTCTTCCAGAAAAATAAAACAGCAGCATGAATGTTTTATAAGGTGTAACTAGCCGTTTCCACCCCAACGTCCCACCCGTGGCCTGGCGCCCATCTGGGCAGCTTCTCCCTGGCTTGCTCCGCTTCCCTGTGGGCCACACTGACCAGGCCCAAAGCTTCAAAACACTGGACACAAAGGAGGCAAAAATGCAAACCTCGATTCTGACCTCCACGTGGGTTACTGTTCCCCTAAATTAAAAAATTTATTGCAAGAACATTATTAAAAAAAGGAAATTTAAAAATGAGCCCACAGCACCACATATCGACTTATCCTATAAACCTAATTTTTCCAAATTCCCGTCCAGTCTTTGTCCAGATGCATAATTTTTATGTAACTGTAAGCACAGCAATGGCACTGTGTTGAGTTCGGCTTTTCTCACTTGGCATAGAATCATTTAACACTTTTCCATGCAGCCACGTGATCTCCGTAATTGTTTTTAATAGCTGGGATAGTATTCCATTGGGTAGTATCCTAATTTACAGTCAATTTGACTTTTAATAAAGAAATGGCAGCAGCAGAGTCAGCGGTGATGCTGTGGACCTCACTGCGACTCTGCTCCCTCTTCCAGCCGGGCGTTCCCTGCCGAGGTGGGGCGCACGGACGTGCTGAAACCCAGCTCCACAGGTATGGCCTCAACACAACAATTCAGGAACGGACTTGCATTCCATCCACCCAAAGGGATCTCCAGGGACTCGAGCGGCTGCAAGTCTCAACCCGAGATTCCAAGACAAAGGGAGCAGAGGACCGAGGGATCAGAAAGGGCCGTTTCGGAATCTCCCAGAAAGACCAGCCTCTCCGACAAGCGCTGTCAGGACCGCTGCGTGCCCGGTTGGTGACGAGGTGACTGTGGGGCATACAGACAGCCCCCCCATTACATGGTTTATGGCTTTGCTCTGCGCGTGAAGCATTAATTAAAGAAGGACCTCAACAAGTTTTTTAAAATTTATTCTTACCTACTGTACTTTGATCATAATGACATGAAACAGGAAAAAAAATAATTTTTATGTGGTTCACATTTATGAGTTCTTACATAAAGGCTTTTGTGGGTATTTTAAGAATGTGCTAAAATGTTGTCTGAAACCACATAAAGCCATCTGAGGAGTTGCCCGCCAGAACTAACAGCACACACATGGAAGCACTTTAACTGGCCTTTGTATATTTAATGAGTCAAATAGTATTAATATTGTTTAAATGCTAACATGCTATTTCAATAAGGTGGCTCTACCATCGCCAGCAACTTGCTCTTGAGCCTTGCACGTCCGTGTGAATAAATGATCAAATGCAGCCCGGTGCTCAGAGCCGGCTACGGAGTGATTAGGCCCGCCCTGCCCGCGCTCCGTCATTCCAAAATCTCCAGCTCTCCAAGGAGAGAGGGAGGTGGACAGGCTGAGCTCACTCGGGCTCAAGAGGGAAGGCTCTCTTCCTGCAGTGGCCTCTGACCAAGCGGGCAGCTCAGAGAACATCTTTGAAATGTGGAGGCTTAAAGATGAAAGCAAGGGCTTTTCTTGGGCCTGAAATCCACACACGCCGTAAAGAGGATAAATGACCCGTTACAGCCTGACCACACAGGGACAATTTGAGGGAAGACTGTGGAGAAGCCACCCTGGAAAAAGTTAAACCATGAAGTGGTGGGGCCTCCAAAAGCTCCAGGAATGTCAGGAGTCGGGGAGACGACAGAGCGACCCACAAACAAGTGGAGTAAAACTCTGCGCTGGTGTCCTCCGGAGAAAGAGCTCCTTCAACTGAATGATACTGGTTCTACAAACAGTCTTGGTGGCTTTCAAGGCCTGCCCAGTAAACATTAACATTTCCTAAGGCAAATGGACTGCAGAGAATTCCGACAGTTGGGGCTGAGGAGAAGGGGCCACCCTGGGTTGGCTCTGTTAAGTCCCATCATTGGAAAAATAGTATGTTATTTACTACAGGCAGATACAGGTGTCATAACCTCCAAAGGATCAGGTCACCAGGGTCACCTGTGCGCTGGATGAGCCTGGAGCAAAAGGCAAGTCTCTCAGGTGGGGCTATTTATCAGCACGCCCAATTACAATTAAGCATCTGGTCGAATTTATTCTCTGTCACAAGTCAGATCCCTGAACCTGGATCAAACTAAAAGCCTCATGTGTCAGTAATTCTCCTCTTCTCAGAGTTCTGTGTCATTTCCCCCTGAAAGCCACTCTTCCACTTGAATAAATGTCATAGTCACGTGTACAGATTCTACG